AAACTGACAGACTTTTAGCTGATGGCATGTGGAGTGCAGGAGTGAGTGCTGAGCAGGGATTTACACCCCTTTCCTTCTTTAGGAATGCACCCCCAGCAGTTCCCACAGGCAGCCGGTGTCCGGCCTGTGGAAGGCAACTGACTCCAGGCAGGCTCCTCACAGCCTTATATTCAGAGAGCTGGAAAACAAAACTGAAGCTTAAATTGTAAACCCTAAAACCCTAAAATAGTCTGAATTTCAAATACAATTGACAGTGGTTTGCCTTTCTTATTTTTCACTATTCAGCACTGGGTCTGAAAACAGATAGAAATAGGGCTAAATAATTTTTTTTAAAAAGTAATTTTAAAAATAATGGATCCTAGAGACTTCTTTCTTTGCTTCAGGAAAATAAAAGGTGAATGCCAAACACATCTTTGAGCTTCTAGTATTCATTATTGCAATTAAATTATTGCCATTATATTATTAGTAACAGCCACAAGAGAAAAGTTTATTGATAAAAATGCTATTTCCACCTTCTTTTTCAAGCAAGAGATTTGCTTAAGTTCCCCAGAGGAGAAGAAAACATACAATTTGCTCCTTTGTATTCTCTCTTTTCCTGTTTCTGGACAAGAGTATTGAGGCACACCTGAGCTACCCTACACCCACGGGAGAGAATGCCCAGAGGTAAGAGGAGAGTCAGCCTGTGCCCTCCAACCCCCGTGATCAAGCCCATCAGCTGCGTTACAGAAGAGTTCACTTTTGCTCAATTGTTATGTTCTGGTTTAGAGATATCATTTCATCACTGAAGAAAACATCAAAAGATTTTAGGCTTTGACATTCACATCCAGGGTAAGTTTCAAAGTCTTTCATCAGGCACTGAAACTGGATTAGCACCAGGAGGTATGTAACAGCCCCTCCCTGATAGAGAAGAAACCGAGGGACCTTTGGCTTAGCAAGAATCTATAAAATCTGATTATTAATTTCAAGACACCACACATTTAAAATGGAATTCTTCAGCATTCCTTGGGAAGGTTGACTCTAAAGTTATGAATTGATGAAGAGCTGATGAAGAGTCTGACTGAAGATAATGTCAAAATCCAGAAACACAGTAATTAAACTAATAGTTAGGAAGGACGGGCTGGGAGAGCAGCTTTAACAAGGTAAAATGGGGAAGAAACATTTCAGGTCAGAAAGGAAACACTGCTTTTCAATTTAATATCCAAATATTACCCTTGTTTCAATGTACCGTGCATTAGAGGAGTGGATAAAACTAGCCTTTAGATCCATCTCTTTCCTTACAGAAACAGAGAACACAATGTTTACGGGCCCCACGCTTGGCCTCTTTTTAATGACTGCAACGTATGGAGCTGTTTGCGAGAAACCCACCTCAGCCGCAAGCAGGAGTCACAAAATAATGGCACTGAACTTGCCTTTATTCAAAAACTCTGCCAAGGCTGTTTGTTTTCTTGAAGAAGTCTGACCCGGATGGTGGGATGTTAATTGCTGATTGTTCTTAGCCCTGCTCACCCGTCCCGGACGATGTGTTTAGTTCCCAAACACGGGGCAGTGTTGGGGGAAAACAGGGAAATGGTGAGCTGCAGCTGGAGCCACAAACACACCCACTGCACACAATGAACTAACCTATGCTCAAAAACTGCAACAGTTCAAAAGTGAAAAATATAAAATTCTTGAAATGCTATTTGAAAATAAGGCAGCTGCTTGCAGGAAATGGATGTAAAACTCCTGCAGCTTCTGAACAGGCAAAACATGAAAACGTGCCTGTTTAGGCACAGAACTGCCTTTTTATAAAGCTGCATGAGCATGACAAAACTAACAACTTCAGCTTTTCAACAGTTCTTTTAAAATCTATTTTTCATTATTCTTTTAGCTATTTAATGATATTTTATAATAGCATTCTATCAGAACATTATGGATCTGCCAGAAAGAAAATGAAAATAGTCATGTTTAAAATAGGAAACATAATGTGAATATACAGTTCTCTGTGCTTCATTGTAATGTAATCATTAATCCAGGTATTAATACAAATAAAATCACTTAAACAGTTGTGATTTTATGAAATTTAGGCATTTAGTTAACTTATAAAATAATTTTGTCGATTGCAATGCATAATACATAGCAATGTATTTTTTCTTGTTCTACAATAGTTCTATATTAAAATTAAACTATTAAAAACTTATGTTTACAGAAATATTTACTGACAAATCTATATGTATTAAAGGAGAAATTGAAGTTATGGAAGTTCATGTTCTTTCAGGAAATCAGAAACTATAGTTTAACATTTTTACATTGGACCTCTGTTATCAACTGCTTGCAGCAACCAAGGTCATAAATTTTTCAAAACGTAAGAAAAAAAGGAAATCTGGTAAATAAGCAGATTTGAGAAGGCACTTCAAATTATTATTTTCTGTGGCTAAAACCAAAGAATAGTTCACTAGCAATATTAAACTACGAGAACCAACAGAAGTCTGAAGTATTAGACTTCAGAGCAGGTTTCATTACTGTCACTGCCTACACAGCAAGCACACAAAGGATCTAGTTCCTCATCCTGAGGCTCAGGACCTGTCCCTTTAAGCAGATCACTGCAGTTTCACATTTGGGTAATGCATTTGCATCGCTTTAGCCCTATAGCAGAGGTACCCTATAGCAGAGGCACCCTGTAGCAGAGGCACCCTATAGCAGAGGCACCCCATAGCAGAGGCACTTTTGCAACCCACAGAGTTTGGAAAACACTTGCCCACCCCAGTTTCCCACAGCCAGTCTGAGACTGCAGGGCCCAGTTCTCAGCTCAAGGAAGGTCCAGGGGAGCTCCGAATGTATCCCAGCTGCAGAAGGGATGCTGCTGAGATGCTGAGTTACTGCTGGTCCCAGCGCCAGTTTCGGTGTGTACATTATGGGCACTACAGTACGTGACCCTATGGAGCTCCTGAGGCAGAGCCATTTACTTCACTGATGAAACAAATGTTTACTTCTGTTAGTGCTGCTGAGCCATTAACTGGAATTATTAATCTGCAGAAAAAACCCTGTGTTTTAAAGTGTTTATCCATTCACAGAAAAAAAGGTTTAGACCCTGATTTAAGATCTGCATCGCCGTTGACGATTAATGGCAAGTGACAGTCAAAGCTGAAAGAACAAAGCATGATATTCAAATATCTGACAGAGTATGAAGAACTGGCAAATCTTAAATTCTCTCCTGCTGTCAGATACCATACTTCTGTTTGGACTACATTTTGGGGATATTGCAAAATTAACTAAAATACCAAATCATTCAGATTTAAGAACAAACTGCAGTAAAACTGGTTCCTATCTGGGTGCCGATAATTTTGAATATATTAAAATAAAGACAATAGACTTATCTTATTGAATTAACATTTAAATTTGCAAACATCCCACAGGCCAAAGAAAACAAAAAACTAATAAATATGCTGAAAAACTCCATACCTCAGTATGAAATCCTGACCCCTTCTCCAGCTAAGTACACACAGCCCAAAGACAGGGAGGATGCCAAGCTGCAGGGGCCCCTCTGCGGGGAAACCTGTGCTCCAGTCGGCAGCGACCGGCAGCCGAAACCCCGGCGCAGGGATGGACGCTGGGGACAGGGGGACACTTCAGAGTGGTGGCCAACGGTTGGTGACACTTTAGATGGGTGGCTGACTTCAGAGCCAGCGTGTGTTCCTGTGTCCAATTAAGCCAACGCCATACTTTGTGCTAATGCAGTGTTTATCTGGATTTATGTGCAGAACGTAACTACAGGCTCATTTCAGTGTGAGTTTTTGGTGCTTTTTAGGCTCCCGGCCCTGCAGTCCACCCAGAGCAGGCCTTTTGGTGTCACATCTCCCAGAGAGGCCACACGAGGTCCGCTCAGACCAGGCCTTTTGGTGTCACATCTCGCAATGAGGCCACTCAAGGTCCACCCAGAGCAGGCCTTTTGGGGTCACATCTCCTAGAGAGGCCCCACGAGGTCCACCCAGAGCAGGCCTTTTGGGGTCACATCTCCTAGAGAGGCCCCACGAGGTCCACCCAGAGCAGGCCTTTTGGTGTCACATCTCGCAATGAGGCCACTCAAGGTCCAACCAGAGCAGGCCTTTTGGTGTCACATCTCCCGAGGCCACACAAGGTCCAACCAGAGCAGGCCTTTTGGTGTCACATCTCCCAACAAGGCCACACAAGGTCCAACCAGAGCAGGCCTTTTGGTGTCACATCTCCTAGAGAGGCCACACGAGGTCCACCCAGAGCAGGCCTTTTGGTGTCACATCTCCCAGTGAGGCCACACAAGGTCCACCCGGAGCGGGCCTTTTGGTGTCACATCTCCCAGCAAGGCCACATGAGGTGACGAAGGAGAGGACAAGGGTGTTGTACGAGGCCCTGGACTCGTGCAGCAAATAAATTCCACCCCCTTGGGAAATGGTTGCCCACTCACAACCCAAGGCCTTGGCCCAAGGCCTGTTTAGGCCGCGCCAGTGCCTCTGGTGGGCGCTGAGTTCCCTCGGTGTCAGGAGCACTCAGCACCTGGCGGTGGCAGGGTTTGGAGGTCAGGTACAGGCAGCCGGGGAGCCGCCACCTCCGTTTTCTTTCCTGTCGACTGACAAAGGGCTGGGCGAGGATTTGGGCAACTTGGTAAAGCCAGAGCCAAAGCAGCGTTCCCCTTGGCTCACGCGGGAAGCGGTTTGACAGGCCGCTGTCTGTGAGGGGAAGGTGTGGCCCTGCTCGCCGGCGGCCCCTCCGTACACCTCGCACCGGCGCTGGCCCCGCGGAGCCGGCACCCCGCAGCCGGCGACCGCTGCCCCCGGGTGGCGACAGCCTGGGCCCGAAGGCGGCGGGCGCGGCGGGCGGCGGTGGGGCGGCGGTGGGATGGCGCCCGGCTCCCTGCCGGCTCTCCCCGCGCCGCCGCCATTTCATGCCGTTTCCAGGGCAACGCCGCGGCCGCTCCCCCTCCCCTCCGCCCCGGGGGCGGGGCCGGCGCGCGCGGCCGTTGGGAAGTGCGTCACGGCGTGCGGTCGCGCACGTCTGCGTCAGCGCGGCCGATTCGAACGGGCGGCGGGCGGCACGGCGGGAGGGCGGCAGGAGGAAGAGGAGGATGAAGCGCACGGCGCCCCGCAGCACTCTGCGGAAGATCATAAAGATGCACAAGCCGCAGTTGCGCCTGGCGGCCAACGCCGACCTGCTGGTGAGGAAGGGCGGGCGGCCTGCAGCGGGGGTTCGGGCCGCTCCGCAGCGCCGGGCCCGGCGGCCGGCCCCGACACCGACCGGTCGGGCTGCTCCGGGAGGGCTCCCCCGGGCCGGGGGCGTTGGGCTTGTGGCCGTGGCGGGCAGCTCAGCAAGTCTAGTTGACGTGGGGCAGGTGTCCCTAAATAGGGGCGTCTGTTCTCTAAACGTTGAGGGAATTAATGTTATAGTTGCATAATTCTTCAAGCATATGGGGTACTTGAGAGCTGGAGATGGGCATCTCTGGTGTTGAAAGCAAGACTGGAATTGCCTGCGCTGTGGTGACAGGGCTGCTGTGATGCAGGGGGACATAAGAAGGAGGTAGGAATGTGCTGTTTGGTGGACACGGCTGGGCTCTGGCTGTTACTGGCATATGAAGTTAGCAGAGCTTTTTTCAGAGCCTGGACAAGCACATCTGCCCCACGAATCTCATTCCTGTTTCTGCAGTGATCTGCAGGCAGGGGAGTGGCAGAGTCTGTGGGGAGACAGATGATTCGTGTGTCTAATAAAATACTAGTAAGTCATGATTACAGCTCTCAGCTTTGCAGGTTGCTGCTGTACTGTAGGTTTCTGAGGGTGAGTTTGGGGATTCAGGGACAGGCTGGTTCATAAATATTGTCTCACTACGTGTACACACAGCTGTTCAAAGAGCTTGACGTGGAAGGATTGAGAAATAGGAATTTGGATTATCTGGCAAATATGTAGATGCTTGTTTATGTAGAGCAATTTGGATATACAGACATCAATCAGCTGAATTAGATTAATGAGTTGATAGACTGTTAAGGCATCTTGAATGATTATATTTTTGTAGAAGGCTATCTAAGTAATCTCTGTCTAAAACTAAGGAATGACTTATTAGTAATCTAATGAGGAGAATAAGGTGTTGTCATCCTGTTCATACTTCAAAAATACGTGCCAATAAAGGTGTGGGGATAACAGCCATATCAAGTCTCAGCTGGATTCCTTCTGACCTGCAGTAAGGGATTTGTGGCACAGGGAGGGCCTGTCCCAGCAAGAAATGACTTGGCTACAGCAAGGAAACCTGAACGCAGGAGAGCTTGTGGTAGCTGCCACGCTGAAAAAAAATAACATCTGCATAAAAAAATATTCTTTTAAGTGACTTAATATGCTTCGTTTGCTTGAGTGTCGTGCATGCTGTGTACTAGGATGGTCCCTGACTTGAATTGTAACTCCATTTTTCATATGTGTATGAAAGTTGTGTCTTGCAACATCTTGAACGTTGGTATCTGGATAGATGAAGCAAAATTTAAATTTATATTTAAATAATATGAGTGAATGTGGTAATTAGAGGATTTACATTTTAATGTAAACACTACATATTTTTGTATTTGGCCTAATGAAAATATAATTTCTTCCTACTGCTTTTGCTATCTTTGGAGTATTTTATGTCATGAGGACCTGGCCCCTTGCTGCTTCTGCTCAGACCCACTCAGAGCTTTCTCAGTGGAATGCGGTATCAAACTTAGCTTACACAATCACTAATAAAGCTTTTTATAGTCGTTAGTGACAGTTGGTCTGTGTTTCTGTGGTCATGTTAATTTGGCTTCAAGGTAGCCTTGCTGTTTGAGAAGGGGTGAGTGGGACATCCCTGGGGATCTTGGCCATTGGCTCCCGTCTCTCTGCCATCCTGCTCTGGGGCTGCACAGGCAATCGGGAGCTGAAGGGACTGAGACTAATGATCAGCAGCAGTCTGAGTGACTTAAAATACAGCTGTGCAAATTCTCATTTCGACACAGAGGATGAGATGAGAATGAATTTTAATAATGTGGTGGGAGCTTAATTATCTTTTCTGCTGATATCACATTAAATGGCTTTTAATATTAGAAGGCTTGGCTTTTTTTTTTACCTTTAAACAAGGATGTGCAGGGGTGATTGTCAATGATGTTCTTCAACTAGGCATGTGGCTAACAGCTGTTTATGTCTAGGAATAAGTAAGCAAAACTCCACCTGTGTTGATTTATAAAAAAAAAAAAAGGGTGGGTGGGTGTGTTATTCCTGTAGTTAGACAAGTAATACGTTTTGGGAGTGTTTTTTTGTCTCGCTGTTATTCCCTACAAACCCTGTAAGAGTGATTAAATTGCATACTTTAGGAGGTCTGTAGTAGCTGTCTGAAGGCAAAGCCATATACATTTTGAGCAGAGTGCTTGAGTGTGCTGCAGGAAAATGGGAGAACTGGCTGGTTTCTGGACTATCTTCCTGAACAATCTGTGTGTGGTGTTGAATCTCCTGTGATGCTCAGCCCAGAGAGGGGTCTGGCTCCTGGCTTAATCACACTGCTTTCCTTTCCCTGACTCTGCAGTGAGTATTTTTTTCTCAATAAACTAGTGTCATCGTATATGATCCTTACTAACACGTTTGAAAGACATAAGAATTCAAACAACTCTGTTAAATACCTGAATGGCATTTCTTCCTCACTTTTCAGATCCTTCTGATCAAGTATCTTTCTGAAATTTGAGGCTTTGTCAGAAACTATTTGTGAAGTCTTTACATCTTCCTCTGTGCACAGTGTGGCTAACACATTTCATCAAGCTTTCTCAAGAAGCTGATTTGTAAATAATGTCTTTAATTGATTAGATAAGAATAATGTTTAAGGTTTTTCCAATGCCCTGAGAACTCAGTTATTTACCTTTTTGAAAATAAGAGGTAAAGATTTTATTATTGAAGTTCAGCTATTCCCCCCACAATAGTCTGAGAAGAAAAAGCTGCAGACTTTGTTCCTGCTTTTCTTCTGTAATTTCAAGCTAGAACTCGGTTATTATTTTGTGCTAGAAGGGCAGGTTTGCATTTATGTTGCAGAAAAAGCTTGAAGTATTGCATTGAGTGATCCCTTTTGTCTTCCTTACGGGCATAGAATGGTGAAATATCAGTCTAGTAAATTGTTCTTCAGTTGTGGCAGCAAAACACCATTCTGGAGCTTGTCCCTGCTGTTGGTCAGCCCTGCTGCCCAGGAGTGTGGCAGTGGTGTGAGGTTTTACAGACATTCTTAAAACTGGACAGACTTTCTTGTATGGGAAATAAGCATTCTTTTGTGTAAGGTAGTTTTTGCAAGTAGTTCAAAACTGTTCTTTGATTTTATGCAGAGGGACAATCGTCTAATATTCGGGAAGGCAATGCCTTTCAACAGATGTGCTGTCATTTGTCAGTAACTGGCACATTTGGGGTGTTCAGTCATTCTGCCTTTCGTTAGCCTTTCTTGATTGCCTTGAATAATCTGGAATATTTATTAACCTGTGCTCTATCATGCCATGTTTTGATTTTAGTTACATGGCTTGGCTTAAATCTGTGAGTTTAGAAGCTTCTCAACATGAAGCAATTCACTTTGAAAATGGAAAAATGAAGGTACAGTGATTCTGAGAGACGGTACCGTCTGTAAAGGCAGTTTTAAAATTACCACTTGTGCCTTTAGGTATGTCAGCGGGAGGACTCTCGAGTGTGGAAGCTTTTGTTCCACCTCCCTCTTCTTCCCCAGGTTCTTTTCAGAAATCTAACCTCCATGGTGATTATCTAATAACGAGAGTTGTAATGTTTAATGCCACTTTAGTGCCACTGCTTGATTCCTTTGGAGATTATTTCTGTAACTAAGGACTAGTTTAAAAATGGCTTTGATAATTTGCTAAATACACCTGCAAGAACATCTGCTTTTTGTGTAGTAGATGCTTCCAGATGATGCCAAATATTATCTAAATTTGTCTATTTCATGCTGGCTTAATTTAGCTCAGGAGGCTGGAAAAAAAGCCCCTAAATTATTTGTCATGCGAACACGGCGGTGCCTGTCCTGTGTCAGATCCTCTGGGCTGCAAACCCTCTGCCAAAGAATTTCCTGTAAACTCGAACGGGAACTTGCCTTGTTATATCTTCCTGGGCTTTGCAGATCAAGTACAGCAGAAAAACTACATCACCTAATTCATGTAAAAACATTTTCATATATTTCAGTAATATTTTTCTGAGATCTCGATTGAAAAAGCTTTTTTTGTACACTTTACGTAGCAAAGTTAATGTTGTTGAAAGTTTAATTTGCAGACAGTGCAATTACCAATTTTCAGGTTGGACTATTAAAACACTTCACATGTCTGTATATCGCTGGAAGTTTGTGTTTTAGGTCCCTTATTACACAGGGGGGCTTTCACTGGCAATTTTAGTGCAAGTTGGAGCAGTCCCTTGGCTGTAGAAATTTGTGCTGCCTCTGTGGGAGCAGAGCAGGGTTCGTATTGAAAGGAACATTCCCCAGCCATTCTTGTCGTCTCAGAAGGTTGAGTGATGAGCTGGGAAAAATGGCTGGAACCTCCTGATGTTGAGAATTTCTTGTTCTGGAGAAATGAGTGTCAATTCTCTTTTGCACTGGGAAGGGGCAGAAGTCCTTGAACTTGTCCGTGGTCCGTTTGGTGATAAAGCAGGGATGAATTTGCTGTTTATTAAAAATCTGGCTGCTGTGGTCAGTGAAAGCTATTTACTAGTCAGTAAAGGCTCCCTCTTGTTCTCTGATATTTATGTTTACATTTTATTATAAAAACCTGCTAATGAAAATCATATTTGGTTTCTGCTAGATCAGTTGTTTGTATGATCATTTCCAGAGCACTTGGACAATTTAAGTATACTAAATTTAAGCTACATTTATGAGAGTCTTGCAGTAAGGAATATCTTGGGAATTTATTAAAACTTGAACTGAGAAGTACTTTGTTTGGAAATTTGGAATTTGGAAGCAAGCAGTCTGATATGCAAATCCTCTGTGTCAAACAATGAAGCTCTGAAAAAACAAACTGTGCTTAAACAGTTGGAATCCCCCTTGATTTTTTTTTTTCTCTTCCCTCTTTTAAAGGTGCATTTGAGCTTCTTGCTGTTTCTCCACCGACTGGCAGAAGAATCCAGGACAAATGCTTTTGAGAACAAAAGTAAAATAATTAAACCTGAGCATGCAATGGCTGCAGCAAAGGTAATAAAGCGTTTTTAATATTTTTCTTTTTTGTTGAATGTGAAATGTATTATGACAGCGTATACAAAAGTTTTCTGTGTTAGTGTCGATGTGTTTTTATTTATAATCCAAAACTTGCAGAAATGTAATGTTCTTTAATCCGTCATTGACATAATTCGCTGTCACCAGGACATCAAAATAAGTCTCCTTGCCCTATTTTTACTTGATTATCTGGTGTTTAAATTCATAGTTTCAATATGTGGGTGCATCTACCCAGTAGCCTATCAGCAGCACCCATGGGCTGAAAGCCCAGGGAGGAAATTCCAGGGTTGGAGGATCTTTATTTCTGATGATCCTATATCCAGAAAGTGTCTTAACTTCAGTGACAGCAATGAAGCTGCTTGGAACAAGTGGGAAATAGTTCCCAGAGGTACTGACACTGTCAGTTCTTCCCTTCTCTCTCTGAAAGCTGGTTTTGGTGGATTCTTGCAGCATTGTGTGGATGCTACTTAAAAAACCAGATATGTGGTGTGCTGTATGGGCAAGAGAAGAGCCAGAAGAGCAACCCAGCCAGCTCTGGGTTGCTGTATGGGCAGTTAAATAACAAAAATCACTATGTGAATATCTGAAAGAGGAGCCCTCTGCATTACAGAGCACGGTATGTTTTGTGCACACACAGAAGAAGGGAAGAGGAAGGTATTAACACAGGTTTCTCTCTCCAGAAATAGAGTACTGTCAAAGTGTGACCGAAATCCTTTCGTGTTCTGTAGCTCATTTCACTGGGATGGGGCTGGTTTCGTGGCAGAACTGTCTCTGTAATTTGTTATCTGTTCAACTGCCTACTGCTGCTGGGCAAATTGGAAGAACAGAGCTCAGTGTTATTTGATATTTGTGTCCTGTGGCTTCTGTTTATCTTTTTTTTTTTTTCTTCAGTGAAAAGCTTGGGTTGATACTTTCTATTCCCATAGTAACAGAAATATATACAGGATGTGTAGGGTAGCCAAGTTAATGTTGCAGTTGGAATCTTATGCATTTGTAATTTCTTTTTAACTGCGATCTTAACATTATTTGAACATTTTTGTGCTCCATTTATTTTTCAAAGATGAGAAGAAAGGAACAACTGCCTGTATTTTAATAATGTTAACACTTAAATGGTCCCGCTTGGGCTTTGAAGTTCATTTTTCAGCTTAAACTCCAAACCAAAAAATGTCCTTCCAAGGGTCTGGGCACTCTTGATGCAGAGAGAAATAAGGCACTGCAAACAACAATTGAGTACGGTACCTGCAGAATTGCAAATCTCTTTTTTTTTTTTTTTCTTTCTTTTTGTCTATGCCTACCCAGAGTAAGAGCTTCAAGGAATCCGCTGAGTGCGTAATTGCCATTTCTCAGCATTCTTTTTTTAAAAAAGCCTTTTATTTTAGACAATTCTTGGTTATGAATGTTCCTATTTTAAAAAAAAACAAAACAAAAAAACCAACAAAAACCAAATAGCTTTCTGATATCTGATATGGCATATTTCTGTTTGTATTTGCTTTATTTCTAACCTTTTCCCTAGACTCTTACCCTGTGATACCGATTGGCCGGTGAATGCTGGATCTGAGCATTCTGGCACTTTGGATCTCTTACTGCTACCTGGATTGTAGTGACAAAAGCAGTCATAAATATACTCTTTTTTTTTTTTCTTTTTACAGGTTATTTTAAAGAAAAGCAGAGGCTAGAAAACAGAATAACGGAGTTTCACAGCATGTGTTTCTGTGTTTTCTTACGAATGTGGGATCCTGTGAGCCAGCTTTTGCACTTGTGGAAGTATTTACTTTTGTCGACATCTGTCTCCTGACTCTGAGTATCTTGCTGTTTCTTCAAAAAAATAATTCAAGACTCTTACAATGTATATTTTAATACACTTCCTGTATAATTCTAAAATGTATGTCACTTGTCATTTAAGACTTTTGATGTACCTTATTTCTTCCATAATAATAGAGGAATGCCTATACCACAGTCACTTTTTAGGTACAATGTGTCATTTATTATTGGATGTGTGAGACTTTAAAAGGAGAACAGTAACAAAAGTGAAGGTTTCACTAAATTCATGATAGATTACGAAGTTCAAAGCAGGGTCACCAGCTAAACACAATCTTGAGTTTCAAAACAAGTGCTATAGAAATTAGCGTATTAAATATCTTGGCTTCAATTTGTTTATAAATGTCTTAGGAATTTTAAATGACTTTGAAAAGTAGGGTAGAACTTCTGTGTTCTGGGAAAGAAGACACATTTTGTATTTCCCAGCCGTGCTGTGAGGCTGGCCTCCCGTTTGGTGTGTGTGGGACAGGCTGGGGGCTCTGCTTCGGTGGGTGCGACAGATGGACACCAGGGGAGAGCAAAGCTGTGGCAGAGCCCATGGTTTGGAGGTGGAATCCCCTAAACTTGGGAAAGATGAACTGGCACGAGTGCAAGCTTCTTCCTCCCTGCTTTGACTGTCATCCTGACTTGGTAGAAGACTGGAAATCTACATTATATAAAAATATCTCTTTAAATTAATATAATTTTCTATTCCTAATCTGATATTTTTTAAACAATTGCTGAATACTTTGCTTAATACAACTATACCTTTGTTAAAAGATTTATCACAGTTTGACCTGATAATACAGGGTTTGGAATATGTGGTGGCTGATCCTTCATATGCACAGTGAGCTATTCTTAAAATAAAGTTCCTGAAACCATTATGTCTGCAGTAGTCTAATTTTGTTTAACGCGTTACTGAGTATATTCTAGAACTGCAACAAAAAAAGACTCGCGTTGTATAAATATTTGTGTAGTCTAAGGAAACCGGAGTGATGCCAGAACCTAGAATTTCATATCATGTCTACGTACTTGTTAAAATACTGTCCAACCTGGGAGAAGCCAACCTTTCACAGCACGCGGGGAGGAAGGACCCTTCCTCTGCTTTACTTGGCTCACAGGGCGCAGTTCCTGCTGCTGCTCACGAGGTTGACTCCATCCCTTCTTCATTTTCTTCTCCTCCTTCCTTGAAATTCCCAAAGCAAGCTGGGAATATACGTGTGCAGAGGGTATTTGGACTGAAGTATGTTCTCAGAAATAAGGGAGATCTGAGATATATATTTTTCTTTGTAATTACCGTCTGTGATTTAACAATTTTATTGCAACTCTAGATTTTCCTTTGTTAGAATTGTATGTTTGTTTGTCTTATTTTGTTTGATTTCCATGGGAGCACGATGCACTGGGAGCCTGGCAGAATGGTCTCCTTCTCCTGCAGCAGCTGCCACTGGGGAAGGGAGGCTTAAAATCAGCCACCCCTCAACTACCTTACTATTTTATATAGTGGTTTGGCCTGCATTCATGGATAAGAAGGTGCAGGGTGTTTTATAGGAGAGGAATTTTTTTTTTTTCTAGAAGTTGGGGTCAAAGCGTGTCGTGTCGCTGGACGGCTGGACCTTGGTGGACATCTCATGGTAGCTGGAACAGGGAGGGCTTCCCAGGACCTGAGGAGCTTGGCAGGTGTCCAGGTTTTTCTCATAAACCTTAAATAATGGCTTACTGAAAATGGAAGTGGTTGATGTGGTGTGGTTAAGCATTCAGAAATAAACAACTCTATCATGTTTTTTGAGTGTCTTCTTGAATGCTCACCACACTGTTAATTATATTGCAGTTTGGCAGCTCTTCTGTGCTCCTTCATGTATATACATGGGGTCTCTTCTCAACCCAGTGCTCCTTAAATTAAAACTCCTCACAGCAGTGCCATCTAACTACTTATGAATGCTTCCAGTTTCTATAACCTTGGAGGATATACTAATAATCTGTTTTCTGTGAGGGACTCTCTAATGACGAACATCAAAGCACACAATTCTACAGAATGTCTTTTTTTTAGCTGGGTTGTGGTAGACGAACCCAACTTCATCAGGCTTCTTATTGGAGTTGCTGTGTTGATCCTCCTCCGTGAGGAGGAGAAGGGGAAGGATCACGGAGGGAAAGCTGATGCATTCAAAAGTCCTTTCTAACTCAACTGTTTTCATAGAACCTTGGGAAATTTAGTGTTTGAACCCCACAGACATTGACTCGCTGCTCGGTTTCCTCTGGTTCTAAAGGAAGATCCAATTGTGACTCCTCATTTCCTCAGGGAGGCAGGAGAGAAGGCTTACGGAATTAAAGGCACACTAAGGCATTATCTAATGTTTCCATTCTCTTTTTTCTCTCACAGCTTTCCTGGTGGTCTTCCCTTCCACGTCCTGCCCCCGCTTTCCCTGTGACCAGCAATGACAGAGGGGAAAAGTCAAAATGAAGAGAGAGAGGAGTTTGGCAAAAGTACTTCTGGTGGCTCTGGTTTTGGTTTCCTGCTTTTCACGTAGCTCGTGTTGGTGCCTGGGCCGGGGAGGGGAAGCCCAAGTGGTTCAGGCACAAAAGGAGAAACATGTTTATTAATCAGCATTGACTGTGAGGGCAGAGCCTTTCCCCTGTTCCCGTCTGCTCTTTTGGTTTCACTCGGGAATGGAGGGGCTGATGGAAGAGCCTCTGGTCTTTGCTGCCCTGAGGAGGTCTTCTGAGCAGTCTCTGCTGCTCCTGCTCTCGGGCTCAGACCGTTTTCCTCCAAGGTAAGCAGGGAGGAGACTAGCTGTGGGTCTTTCACAGCTGATTTGGACATGCTTTGGTTTTAGTTTGTAGGGCATGGGAGATTAATATCTTCTGAATGGTATAAATCACCTGGTTCTTCACTTTCAAACTATAAAGTGTGCCCATTAATGCTGGATGAGTGCAGGGTAGACCTCTGGAGAGGACTGGCTGGTCAGCTCCTGCTGGAGCCCACAGGAATATGGGAACTTGGTGGGGGCCCAGCTGCTGGCTCTTCTGTTTGGGTCTGAAGTGAGGTTGGACCATGATTTCTGCTGCTTTGGTTCAGAAGCTCAGTGCAGGGGCTCCAGACAGCATCGGTGCCTTGGGGTTTCATTCTGCCTGTTTGTGGAGGAGCGTGTGGTTGCTAAAAAAGAGTCTTCAGTTGCATAATAAAGATAGCAACTATTCCCTGGCTATTGAGATAAAGGAAAAAATTCAGAAATATGTATGCTGCGATAGGAAAATTCTTTTTCTAGCCATAAGGTGGGGATAGAACAAAAACTGTCTTTCTCTTCCTGCGGTAACTTCCCAGTAGAGAAAACACTCTGTTTATTCCTATTACAAAGTGCACTATAGGTTGTGAAGCTTCAAGGTATCTTCTGGGGAGTCCCAGGCCTGCACTGCAGACATGGGTGAGGCAATTAATGGTTAAAAAAATACCTCATTCACACGCTGATCCATACTGAGGGTCAGAGTGAAATATACGAGGCTCTGATGAAGCTTTAAGATTTTTCTTTCTTCGAAGGTCATTATTTCAGCATCAGATAACGTTCGTAGTTACTGCTCTGTAGTTTTTGTACCACAAAGCCTCATTTTTAGGACCCGGGGTGTTCTCTGGGCAGTTTGTGCAGGAGGTTTTGTACCAGACATCACTCCTTCCGCAGCCTTAAGGGTAGGACATGGAGCTGGTGATGCTGAAGTGCTGACTCAGCAGACTGACTGGGTGAGTCTGCTGTCAGCTTGGGACAGCTAATGGCAGGGCATTGTGCCCCCTGAATACACGGGGGGTTGAGGTCACCTGTGATTATGAGGGTGTATTTAGAAGGTGTGACACATTAAAAGCGCTGGTTACAGTACAGCAAAAATCCTTTTTCCGGAGCTGTAACCCCTATGTCACATCTAAGTTCTTCAGGCTGTTTCAAAGCGCTGTGTGTAGCTGTTCCCTTCAATATGCTTCATATATGTATTTGAATATAGATTCCTTGGTAGGTGTTAATGGTTCTGTACTTGTAGCTGCTGTGGCTGTATTTGAATATAGATTCCTTGGTAGGTGTCAATGGGTCTGTACCCGTAGCTGCTGTGGTAGCCCACTTGGATATGACAGAAGAGTTTAAGAGAACAGACCTCTTACATGTTTGAGTAGTTTCAGTGCTGGAGTGAGGAGATGCTGATGGTGTTTTTGTCGTGCTAAATACAGAATTGCAGCTTCTGGAGGAAGCTGGGGAAGGGCCTTCCCACCCGACGGCCCCTGGCTCTGCAGAGGTGGGTCAGTTGGGATTCATTCATGCTCTGCCTGCTGAGTGGTGCTGGAGGGTGACAGCTTCGCTGCACCCCCCCAGGGATGGTACCTGGTACCTCCTGTGGGCTGGGGATGGACGTGATCCTGCCAAACTGCTGAAAGACAGATCTTCTCAGGCCATCACATACCTGTGAGATCAAGTTTCCCATTGAGAAGGTCACTTTCCTGGGGGAAGGATTTCAGTGCGTGGGGAACTTGTTTGGGCATTTTTCAATGCTCTACCAACCCTAAAACTACTTCTGCTTTGAAAAGAAGTGTAGACACAGCCTTATTCCTGGTAAAAATGTGATTGCAGCAGTTAAACACACCCGAGAGCACTCCCTGCAGAACAGCCTGCTCTTCCCCTCCAAGTGCTGGGGCAGCTAAAGCAGAGCCCTGTTCTGTTGCCCGGGTGTGCAGGCAGCACAGAAAGGTACAGATTGTAGCAATTGAACGGATCCGGAATCCAAAATGATGCAGGGCAACCAACCACTTCCAAATAAATGTAGTAAGGGGTAGGGTTGGATTAGCTGGAGGCTCGGATCCCTCACACAGGGTTTAGTTTGGTCTCATGGTGTTTGTGCCAACCTCTGCAACTGACAGCCTCCCGTGGGCTCTGCCACTTGTTTAACCGGTGTTTGTGCCAACCTCTGCAACTGACAGCTCTGTGGGCTCTGCCACTTGTTTAACTTAAAAATGTGATTGCAGCAGTTAAACACACCTGAGAGCACTCCCTGCAGAACAGCCTGCTGTTCCCCTCCAAGCACCGGGGCAGCTAAAGCAGAGCCCTGTTCTGTTGCCCGGGTGTGCAGGCAGCACAGAAAGGTACAGATTGTAGCAATTGAATGGACCCGGAATCCAAAATGATGCAGGGCAACCAACCACTTCCAAATAAATGTAGTAAGGGGTAGGGTTGGATTAGCTGGAGGCTCGGATCCCTCACACAGGGTTTAGTTTGGTCTCATGGTGTTTGTGCCAACCTCTGCAACTGACAGCCTCCCGTGGGCTCTGCCACTTGTTTAACCTCAGCAGGTAAGTACACATACAGATTAGATTATATCATTGAAATCAGTTTTAGTGAGATTTGCCCAAATAAACCAGATAAAGGAAAACATTTAAGTAACACATGAGCCAGTTTTCAAAATCCTGTTGCATGGCTGAAATCTTCTGAGTCCAAGGAAGTCTCTCGGAGGGTCCTCACGGGGGGGAAGGCTAAAGTGAGCTTCAGCAGGTAAGTACACATACAGATTAGATTATATCATTGAAATCAGTTTTAGTGAGATTTGCCCAAATAAACCAGATAAAGGAAAACATTTAAGTAAGACGTGAGCCAGTTTTCAAAATCCTGTTGCATGGCTGAAATCTTCTGAGTCCAAGGAAGTCTTGGAGGGTAATCATGGGGGGGAAAGCTAAAGTGAACGTACTGATGGTGGGTTACATTTAAACATGTTTAAATTCTTTATTCTTTAGCTTGTTTTCACTCTTCAGGGAAAATGACGTGTGTACAATGCAGTTTCCACAGTCGGTCAGCTGTTTAAATAATGATGTCTGCAGGTCGGTTGGCAATTAAAGTGAGTTACAGACAGACCCTGATTT